CATTCGGCGCATGTATTTTCTGCTCGATGTTGCATAAAACGATCACTGCGATCGTTTTTTAAACCAACGATCGCACCGCATTCGTTAATTGTTGTTTATCCCACGGTGAAAATATTAACTCCGCAATATTCCTTTGTTTGAAATATATACATAATCATAAAAATTTAAAAATTTATCTGCAACATTCCTGTATTTACAAGCCTTTTGGGAAAAGTTTACCGTTTGACAAATATTTCTCAACAAACGTACATGTCTGCAGATCACACCGTCCCTGAATTAAGTGTCCGCACTCCAGAGATTAAGCATCGGGTCAACAATGAAGTAAATTTCACTGGCTGCATTTCATGCATATGCAAATGACATGAACAATACAACTGATGTCATTGCTAAGCACGGACTATGTTCCTACCACTGATGTGCAGTTTGCACAGCTGTTACATGCACTAACCAGTGAAGTTCTTGCGATCAAGGACTGAAGTCCACATCTGAATCCGAGTCCACCTCTATCTCGGTGCAATTTCGGATGCGGTTGATGGCTGCCATTAGCTCCGTGTTTTCCAGGCTGTTGTACGGGGAGGACGTGCCTTTGGGGTCTCTCTGGATGTTGCGCAGCTTCACACCCTGCCGAATGTTGGCCAGCGTGGCCACCATTGGATCTGATCCCACAAAAAGATGTAGAATAACCATTAGTTCAGGGATACACGAACTTCTTATCCTTGCACTGTATTGACTAATGACATGTTGGCACTATTGGTGGCTCTGTCTGTTTTCTTGCTTGGTTTCATTAAAAAAACAAATTGGATATCTATGTTCATTTTCAGTTTTAAAATTCAGTTAAACCATTTCCTGCCGGTCGCTTTTAAAAAGGCAGTGCCTACATTCGGGCGATTTTTCAATATCTTCGGTTTTCAAAAGTTTCAAAAATTCTTATTTTTTTCCTGAACGCCTAAACCCCATAGAGTGACTGTCTGGTGGCTACTCCAATCTGACAGACAATATCTATTGATGCCCGAGTATTTCAACCATGCCTGCCACCTTGTAAAAAGAGCCCAGATTATGAAGTGTTACATAAGTTTCTTTTGTTCCCTGAAACTGGCACAGTGCGCTGCTGGCGTCTTTTCAATAGGGGCCAGATTAGCATGCAGCGGTACTGTATCATACATCGCTGGAGCGCTTTTGTCCCCGGTGGTAATCCGCTCGCACTGAATGCCACAAACAGTGGTATAATCTTTCAAAACAATGACGGATTTCCTCTGCTATTGACAACGGAAAAAATTTTTGCCAATTCCCAGCAGCTTGGTCTTTTGTTCCGAGCACAGTCATTTGTTACAAGGCCCAGCTCTTTTGTCTGATTTCGGGCACCCCAGCAATACGTACAAAGCCCACGTCTCTGAAACTGGGCTCCCTGGCAGCAAGTGGTTAAGGCTGCATCACTATTAGGGTGCACTGCAGTTGCCATCTTAACATCTCTTGCTGGCACATACATGTAAAGTTTTTGGATCGTCCCCCCTATCTTCCACCAACAGTTATGCTACTCTATTTAGCCAAATTTGGCCATATTTCCAAGATCCCGTGTTGAAACCTCTCAAATGTGACCAGTCTGGGAAAATGAGTTACAAGTTGTCAGAACCACTTTGGGGTTACAGACCATTCAGTCTTCCACAGCATACAATCAACAGGAATATTCATGTATTTTCTATGAGTCCAACACTGAATAGTGTGTCAAAATGAGGACTTCTTAATGTTCCTTCTTCTCCATCTCTAAAAGGAGAACAATCAAACAAGCAACATTACTTGAGAGTTGTGTTCTAATTACAGACCATATTCACAAGGAAGCCATGTTTCCTGAATCATATTCAATGTAATGGTGCCAGACTATTATACTTTCCATGCCTCGCTTTCAAAAATAAAAAAAATCACAAATATTAATCATTTATCATCACAAATGAAATCAATTTGTAATAAACTTTTTCCATTGCTTTAATTCAACCTCACATTCAATCCATGATAGACACATGAGTAGAGACTATACCAACAACCATGAGCTCTCTTCCTACTCCCACTCACCTTGGTTGGCTCCTCCAGAGTGGTCAGCTGGGCACTTCTGCAGATTTCCTCTAGCTTTTAAAATCGCACTGAGGTCTAGTCCCCTGCCTCCTGTGTCTTTCTTCTCCATATCGACAGTCTTTGGGTCCCTTGTGCCTGCCAGTAGTGCCAGGGTAGGGGGACAAGCTGGTGGAGGGGGTGGGGGAGCCAGCGGGGGTGGGGGAGCCAGCGGGGGTGGGGGAGCCAGCGGGGGTGGGGGCACGGGTGGGGGAGGGGGATCAGGTTGAGGCAGGGCTAGAGGTTGATTCCCACGGGTTGCTGGCACCGCACCTGGTACAGTTCCATTGGTTGCCTTGGAGCTTTTTGTCTTTGATGCCACTGGCTTGGGTGGTTGGTAGGAGCGTCGGGCCTTGTCCCTAGCAGCTGCTGCTTTTTTCTTCTCTTCTGCTTTACCCAGCTCGGCCCCTGTCTTGCTGCTGGCTTCCCGTTTCTTGGCGCCATTCTTGTACTGTTGGGGCTTGAGCATCTTTGGGCTGGGATGACTCTGCAAAGAACAAAATGCCACATTGATACCATTTATTAATGCACATTCCACAGGTTTAACTGTTGAAGAGTTGCTCTGAAGAGACTTCTTCACAAAATTTGGCCAAAGCTGTACTGCCAAGAGATAAAAAAGAGAGTCCCTTGCGACGTTAGTATCAGAGAAACTGACGGGAAAATCTCAGACATTTTTGGAAAACAAGTCTTTATGTTTGCATGAGCTCCCTGCCTGTCAAAAACTTTGCAGTGTCACTGCAAAGTTTTGCAGTACTTTCCACTATGTCCAATTCTTGGTGACATTCCTTATAATGGGTTCACTGTGTGCAATGACAACCCATCCCAGAATCAGTTGAAAATTCAGACAGCTCAGCTGGTAAAATAAATGAACAGAAATCCAGTGGTCTCAAGTTTGATTCCTGATGGACTTCAAATTTCACCTGCCACCCTACATTCATAGGGTGCGTTCGTGCGGTTACTCCTGTCAACACGAGTAGGATGCGTGCGCATTGCACTCGGGTGCAGGAAAATACTCCTCGTCAGCTTGAGTACACTCTCGCTGACCCGCGAGTTGTATTCCAGCCTTTCGAGCGCTCAGGAGTATACTTGTGTTGACACGAGTAGCTCGCTCGAACGCACCCATAAAGACCATGGGCAAATAATAGTTACCACTTTATAGTTACGAAGTCTGTCTAGCGTCTTCTTCCTCTGTGACTGGATGAAGTCTTTCTTCTGCTCCTGCTCAGCCCATAACTGCTGCCGCTTCTGAACGTGACACGTAAGAGTAGCAAGACATCCAAATAAAGGAATTGGGTTTGTTTGGTATTTCAAAAAGGCAACGTCGTTTAAGAACAAAGAACCTGACGACACGTCAGCTTGAACATGCTCAGTGCAACTGAGTCAGCATACAGCCGCGGTGGTAGGGCCGGCCTCCAACCTGTGCCTTGATGTTCTAAAATGACCTGCATCGCATTCATTTTGAGCATTTGCTGTTAAACTACCGACCTGGCTCTTTCAATTTCGCCCAAGTGTATGTCAATTCTGTTGCCTAGTAACTAGGATTCTGCTTGTCTTTTCAGCACAAAATGATAAGAAAATCTCCAGAATTGGGGAAAAATTTCCCAAGTCTCGCCTTTGCCTTTATTGTGAACCCTACACCTCCATCATTCTACAGTATTGGTAAAATATTTCCAAGTCAAATTCTTGCCTTTGTCTTTATTATGGACCCTACATCTCAATCATACAAGATCATGCACTAGATGCACTCTATAGCACCTCAATCAACTAAACTCTAAAAACAAGCAAACAGACAAACAAACAAGCTAAGATATTGTTTATCTGCAAGAGTCTGTCTGGATTCAGGCGGGCAGCTGGAGAAAGTCGGATGTCCAAATGGTTGGAATTTTGAAGAATTCAGCCAGTGAGACAAGGAACTCACCATCTGAACCCAATGGTGGGACTTGAATTTCTCTTCTTCCAATTTCTTCTCATCAATTTTTGTTCGTTGCTGTGCTACGCAGGATTGCTGTAAAAAAAGAAATTTAGAGTTCAGTGAAATGATGGTATCTTTTCAAAATATCCAAACACACCTACCACACCTTTGACTACCATAAAATATCCATTAGATTCCTCCCATAATTGGATGAAATGGGGATGAGGTGGGATCACATGGCCACAAATGACACGACACCATTTCAATCTAACCGGGTGAAGTTACCGGTATCTGGTACGGTGGTATTTTGAAGCAATTCAGAAGATTATATCCATCTGATAGGCACTGATGATAGGCGCTGATGATGTGGGTAAAGGCGAAAGAACGTAATGCTTTTCAGACGTCTTGTTGAGTTACCTTGTTGCTTCTGATACGGGCTCGTTGCCGGTTGATCTTACTAAGCTTGGCCTGGATGTCGGCAACCCTGGGATCCATCTCTGCCTTCTTGCCCTTCCTGTTCAACCTGACCTCTTCCTCATCCACATCATCTTCCCCCGCCTCCAAGTCGATGTCCAGAAGGCTGTCCAGGGCATCGAAGAACACATCCACCTCTTCTGCTTCTGTTGAGCAAGTGAAAACAAGCAGCTGTCATTTTTGTTTTTAATTTGAAAGACCAGAGGGGCTTTCCACAAATTATAACTCACACCATGTAAACATTTTCAAGGAACCTTCCTGAATCTTCCCCCAAATCCTGTCAATCGTAGGGATACCAAGGCACACTTTTGTACATGAACAAACTTAAACTTTCAAGGGACATCCTGGGTAGCCCCATCAGTTACAATCAAAATGTTTCGCTGGGCCCTGGAAAGAAGACAGCCAAGAAATGGTCAACACTGGAGGTCTCCACAAAAATCCACCAAGAAAAAAAATATAAACTCAGGTAGGGACGGAAAAACCAATCCACTTGTCATCCAGCGTGGGAATGGAGTTGAGGCAGCAGAGGTGGACGGCAAAGATAATACCACTATGCCAACCCAACTCCTCCATGAAAATATCATCTTTCGAGCTGTAACCTTTTTTCTAATTCTCTGCAACCTTGTGGTAGGTTTTGAAGGATTTGGCAGGGATTAGAGCAAATGTCAAATTGGAGCTACAACTGTGGATATAACATTCTCCCTGTTGCTTTCAGGTAAAAGTAAAAGTAGCTCTTACACAATTTCCTTCTTTGGACCAGATGTTCCAAGAAACGTGAATATACCACCATCTATTCATCAGCCTGTTTTGAGATTCTGGTACTTTACTAGCCAGTTTTAGGGTAGTGTGGTCTAACTGTAAGGTTCTGTAACTCATGATGATGGGGTCAGGGGTTCAAATCCACCTGTTGCCTTTAAGGTGTGTCTTTGTGCAAGCCACTTCACCCCCAATAAATTGAGAAGCGACATTAGTTTAAAGGAGCGACCAGCAGTGGACTGGCATCCGTCCGAGGGTGGTGGGAGAGTAGAATGTTCTCAATAGCTTCCTGCCAAATTGGTTAAGAACAGAGATGCTTTGTTCTTTAGTTTCATCAGTTCACCTCTGAGCTGTTGTTTGATCACGGCTAGCTCTCGACGGTGCATCTTATCACGTTCATTCAGCACATCCAGCTGGGTGTCGTAGAGTTTGATCTGGAGGTCGAAGGCCAACTGTTCCAGGGATTCCAACTCGTTGACATAGTTGGGTCCTTCATCAAGCATTGCCATCTGAGAAGAAGGGAGAGAGAGAGAGAGAAGCACAGAAGAGAAACGTCAGTGAGGCCTGAAATCTGGTTAATATTACAGTTTAACCCTAACTACCCCAAACCTGCCATACTCCAACAGCAGGTTTTGTGAGGTTTTGTCAGGTTTGGTACTGTACCTGAGGAAC